CGCGGGCGGGCAGGCGGGGCGGGGCGCGGGCGGGCGGGCGCTCTGGCGGGCGGGCGCTCTGTCTCTCTCCTTGTTTTCTGTTTCTGTGTTTCTGTATATTATCTTTTCGCTCTCTCGCTCCGCACCCGACAGCTGGGACTACGACAACTTCCGACAGCACACCACATTGCAAATCACAAGCCCGGTCCCGCTGGAGACTGCTCGGGCGAAAGTCAAACGATTGCGTCTGGGCCACAGAAGTTTGTTGGTACATGCCGGCATTCAGGGCAGTGGAAGCTCCAAGCAGCACACCGGTCCTACAGAAAGCTAAACTCCTTGCTGGCAGCAGAGCTCTGGTGCAGGCCAGCCGCCACGATATCAGCTAGCTGTGTGTCGGTTTTGCTGCTGCTCCGGCTGGTGCCGAAGGAATGGACCTGACGGCGAGCTGGATGAAGACTTGAACGGTGACAACTTTGCAAGCACAACACGAGCGACAAGTCAGAGTTCGCACGCGGTACCAGGCCTCAATTTCAGAAATCCTATGCATGTTGGGTGGTAACAGCAAACACGGACGACGAACCGCGTTGTCTTGAAAGGGCGGCCGGCAGGTGGAGAAAAGCAGCTGAAGCGGCAAAGTGGCCAACGGGAAAAAGGATCTAGCGAAGGTTGATGATCCCATGCCTCAGTCCCTCGGCCTCTAGCCTCTCCGATTGTGCAGAGTGCATGGTGTTATCAAAGGGCCTGGGCCACTGCCGAACATTGGCGACAGAAGCTGTTGCAGAGAGCCCAAGAAGACACAACCTCCGAGAACGACATCTGCAATGCAATGATCGAGCTGCCTAGGGCCTAAGCCCCCAACTTTGCCTAGGAATGATGCGAGGCACACCGAATGGTTGAAATTCCAAAAACACGAGGATCGTTCCGTCGCTGCCGGGTCTCACCGTGCACTTCAAGAAGTGCTTTCCATGCCAGAGATCTCTTATAAAGAAGAGGACGAGGAGCTAGGCACAGTTGGAGAAATGCCAAACGACCTTCAGCAAACACTGTGAAATATGAATGAACAAGGAGGCCAATCCTGAAGAGATCCGAACCCAGAACAAGCCAGTCCCACAGGCCTGGACCCCAGCAGCTTCGCTTTGTGGATCGAAGGTCAGCCGCACTTCGCAGCGCCGGCAGAGCCCGGCAGCGACCAGGCTCCTTGCGATCCCTTCGAAGGGATTCCCTCCCGAAAACTTCATACCTCTCCATTTGTTATGCAAATCGCACCGAACTCTAAGTATCTCATCCCCACAAAAAAGCGGTAAATGACAGAGCGAGATCAGCATCTTGTCAAAATCGAAAGCCGCCGCTTGCTGCTCTACCATCGATACGGTCAGAAGCGGGGAGGCAAACGCTGAACCCGCAAGGAACGCGACGGGAAGCGACAGTCCGTGGGAGCCGTTGGAAAGCCCGGTGTTGGGGAACTGCAGGAGTGTGTTGAAACAGCAGGGCTCAGTAGGGATTTTGTCGGGAAGCATCCAGAGGTGAAGTCCCGAAGTCCACACCACAGGATACAGGAAGGAAGCATATGAGGGGTGGGCGGGTCGCGCATGACTTTCGCGGCAGCCAGCGACCGTGGGAGTGACATTTCCTTCACAGCTCGAAAGTCGTGGGATGTTCCCGTGGGTCCACGCATCACGCATCACCGACTTCGTCTTGGTGTTGAACCGCGTCTGTGATGGCTGGCACGCGGGGCCAGTTTCAGCCAAGCTCTTTGGCGCGCAGTACAGGAGTCATGGGGGGTAAAGGTTACAAGGATAATCCTGCATTGGTGAGCCAGGAATAGGACTGACAAAACCTGGAGCCTGAAGCATGTGGCAAACCCCGAACTGCGGGAGCAAACCCCCGAACCCCAAAGGTTCAAACCCTGCCTTAAAGAAAAACTGTCGTCTGTCTGCAGAATTGCTTTGATGCCCGTGTTTGGGCCTCGTTCGGTTCTTTTGCAGTTGGAGGTCATGGCTGATCCACATCGGAAAACTGAACCGGTGGAGAAACACACCCTAAATCCGACAAAAGGGAGCTGTACTTCAAAAGAGTATGCAGCAGGGAATGCAGAACCTTGGGGAAAGACAAACCGTCGTTTTCAACGAGAAGGGCAGGCAATCCCGAAGCTGTGGAATGAAGTCTGACCACCAACCGATATTTCGGCTAGCTCCAAAAAGCCAGCTTCAGTCTGAAACAAACCGAACCCATCCTTATATTGGATACCTATAGGTACTTAAAAAAGCGCATGCCAAAACCACAGCCCCAGTGAACACACAGAACTTTACCGAAAAGAATGCCTCAAGCTGGCAATAGGCAGAGCGAAAGGAGCAAACTTTGAATTAACAGGAGTAGAAAGGGCTAACGTGTGAGCGGCCGGCCAAAAGAGGTCGCCTTGCAACATGTCGTAACTGGCTGGCACAAGGACGCAAAAAAAACAAATGAACGGGCTACCCGTGCGACAGGTACAGGCACATGTGCCGGGGATGGACGTGTAAGCTCGCAAAACTCACTGAGCCTTGCGGCCCAGCGGGCTCCGTAGGCCGCGCGGCCCAAAGCCCACCCATCGCGGCCGGAGAGTACGCCTAAGCAGTCATCGCTTTAGGCTTGCCCATGAACGTGAGCCGGTGCCGGAGAATGAGAGGGGGGGATTCAATTGGATGAACCAAAAAAAAGCTCGGATGATAAGGATGGGAGACTGAGAAGGATGCGCAGCCGAGCAGAGAGCACAAGGCTGAGTCGAGACAGAGGCAACTCTTCGGCTCTTCGGCTCCCGTGCAGCGCCTCCCGGCACCCATCCACCGTAGCCGTCGGAATCGCACCGGCGACCGGAGAAACCCGCCTCTCGCAGAAAAGTTAGAGACCGAGCCCTCAAAGCAGGATTCGCACTGTTTTTGTTCGTGAGTTTTTCCTGCGAAAAGCCTCCGAAGCACCACGGCGAGCTCGAGGTGCGAAGATGCAGCGCACCGAGCCTGAGAGGAAAGCAGGGTTTCGCTCTGGCGCGGCACTGCTTCTGAAGTCGCAGTGGCTTTACATTGCTGTATTACTGTATGGCTAACGGCTTGAAGGCTAGTCCATCTGATTTCATCTGTCATCTGTGACAGTATCCGCGGTCTGATGGCGATGAACGGCCATGGTTGCTGTTTGAGCATGGTCCAGTGCTGGCAAGCCCGATTGAATGCTTTGGCAGGGCTCTTCAGTTCACTTCGGGGGCAAGCATCTGTGCTAGATTGTCTGGGTCGCCCCGGCTATCAAGAAAGCGATCGGGAACCACGGGCTTCACAACCTGCACAGAGATGCGGACAGGGTCAGCAGAGTAATGTGGAGAAATGCTGGCACGATGAGAATGACTTCAAGGATCTCCACTGCCACTCCTGGTCCATGAGGTCCTTCTCTGCAGCTGCAGGCTTTACCTCTGGTAAATGGCTGTAGATGATGGAGATGCTGTGGACCCGCTGTGGAAGCAGCGCACCTGTTTAAAGCAGATCGGTCTGAGCCTTCGGTGCTGACAGCCCACCCGATGAAGTCTGAGCTAAGGCAGCTAAGGTGCCGTCGGAGTCTGCCTTGTACTCCACGGTCACCTTATACAGTTTATAAAGTATGCTTCGACATTGAAAGTCTTGATCTCGCTTTCTCAGCCTGGCGGAACACCCCGGCCTGGGCGCGAGCATCTGGACGCAGCCACGTCAACACGCCATCTCGCCTCCGGTGCAGTCCCTCTGAGCCGAAGGCCGGTCCTAAACTGGTGTCCCCGACGTTTTGCTGCAATGCAGGGTGTAGCGACGCTCGACTGTCTTGCTCGCGACTTCTGCGTACACGCAGCAAACGCACCGCAAGAAACCGATTCACGCACACTGGGCGAACCGATTTGCACACCGAGCAGTTGCTGCCGATTCACGCCCGGGCACGGAGCATGAGCTGATTTGCGCGGCGGGAGATTCGCGCACACACAGATTCACGTACCGGACATTTCAAGCAATGCGCTCGCGATTCACATGTGTGCACACGGGATTCGGAAGCTTGCCAGAGTGTGCCTTAACGACGCGACAGAACGCTAGACCATAAAATCCTAGAAACCTTATAGACCGTAAACCCTCCTGCAACTTTTCCAAAGAAGCACAGAACCTCAATCTCGAAACCCTAATCTTAAACTCCTTGGACCATCAAAACAGCAGTGTAACTCCCTAAAGCCTCAAAACAGAACTTGAAAACCCTGAAGACATTAAAACCTCCAACCCTTAAAAAATATAAACCAAGAACCGTCCCAACAACTCCAAACCGCAAACCCCGGTGATCCCTTGAATCGCGAGTGCTTGAATCGCATATGCTGAAATCGTGCGTGCTCACACGTTGACTGCTGTTGTGCCTGAATCGGCGTTGTGCTGGATAGGCACGCCCGTGCTTGAATCGTACGGACTTGAACCATTCCTAAAATTGGACTTCGAGGTACGTGCAGCAGGGACCCCAACAGGATTCTGCAAACACCCGGACCCTGAGACCCTCCTCAGCCGATCCATCTGGGCGCAGATCTGCGATGCCAGGGCATGAGACAGCGGCATAGCATCCTGTTCAAAGCTCACGATCAGGCATGTGACGACACTACTCTTTCGTCCGCAGCATTGTCTCAATCACGGCTCTTCCTCTGTCTCATCTGTGGCGTACCCAACAACTACGGCCTGCAGCTCCACATGCACAGTCGAAACACCAGCCAAGCAGCAGGACGGTACCGAGCTTCGAACCTGGTCATCGGAAAGCTTTGGCCGCTGACTCCCCAAGGAGGCCTGGGCGACAAGGAACCAGGGAAAAGCCACCGAGTCGAAAGGAGCGAACAGAGGCAAATGCTGCGATGTCCGGGCCCTGATCTTCAACCGCTACAATCACGTTCATCGTCCTGCGTGAGCTTGTACCCTTAAGCACCTCTGCTTGGGCATGCGCTTCCTCGTGTTCTTGGGTATGGGCAAGCATCTATAAAAGCAATTACTCACCAGCGAATCAGTGAATGTGTGTGTGTAACAACAATTTTCGGCTGAAAGTGTTAGCAGCACCCTGTCCTCCAATCCAGGCCCTTGTCGTCGCTGTCATAGCCAACCGCTTTGACAGCTTCTCGAATGACCTGCTCGTATTGTATACTGGCTTTGCTGACAACCTCACCAAGAATCATCACCATTCCTTGGAAAATCGGAGTGGGCGTTGTCGCAACCATGAGCCATGGAAAGCACGGTGCATGTCGAACTGACTGCCAGGTCACCAGACTTGGCGCATGCTTCACAGAGCACCCGGCTTTCAGAGTCCTGCAGCAGCTGAAAATGCCACGTTCATGCATAGCCTTTGGCCTTCATAACAAGTCCTGGCCTGTGAAAGACATGTGTCCAATACTGCGTCCGCCACTCGGTCGCAGAGTTTGTCGAAATGTCCTGGCGGGCTTTACGCGGAGAGGCCCACGGACAAAAACCAGAGGACGCCGGCCTTCTGTGGTTGCCTCGGATGAGAACAGGAAGTGGCCATCGGGCAGCGCCTCTGGCATCGCCAGTGCCTCTCGGTACCCCGGGCAGAGCATCAACTCTCAAAATGCTGTGAAGTGAAATGATGCTGGTTGCAGCATCGACAGGCGGGTTCTTGAATCTTGAAACTCAGAAGGCCCGTGACTGCGATCGACCACACAGACGCTTATCGCAGACCAATGGCAACATCGCTTGCACAGGTGCAAGACGGGGCGAGTCAAAACTTACATGTAACACTCCCGGCTGGCAGCCCGACCCCTCTCCCTCAATGCACTCCGATTCTCAAACACGCCAATCCTCCCAAACAGTTCCATGAGCCACCTTCAAATGTTTCGGTGCACATCGGGATTGGTGCAAATTGGTTTGGCTGAGCCCAGAGTGCCACGGGCAGAAATTGGTGTTGCATTCTGCAGAAAAGCCACCGTCACTGGACTGGAGCTTGCAGGACAGGGCACTGAAATTGCAACAGGCCTTGTTGCACGTTTGAGACACGGCCTTGCGATACCGACAGGCCTCAACCCCAAACGAGGGGTAAGGGCGACACGCGCTTTTGTTCGTCCTCGCTTCCCTTCCGGACGGGGACCCATCTAAGCCGAGCTGGCCGAGCTGGCTGGCTCAGGGGTCTCGGCCTCGACGGCAGACTTCCCTAGAAGCCCAAAACAGCAAAGTTGTGGAACTCCTCGCCTCTGTGCAGGCACTTGCACGGCCTGAGGATAAGCAGAATCTGCATGAAGCAAGCACCACACTTGCACTCCGTGGGAGAGGAAACATCCGCTTATGAGAGCGGAGCAGCCTCTTCGGACGTCGCATCTTGAAACTGCCTGACAAAGCGGCCAAATCGCTCGAAAGCAAAACACACTTTCAATAAAGATCTCCCGGAGGAAGGTTGGAAAGGAATGACAGAAACCATCCAATCTTAAACCATTTAAACCCACCTTCGTCAGGCGGCCGCACACCAGTGATGTGACTCTTTGTTTCGGTTGCCCAAGACCGCTGCTGGTTACCAGGTCATGACACATCGTCCACCTCGAGCTTTGGCTCTGCGATGGCGCTTCCAAGCATCCTGGCGTGCGCCGCTGCCTGCGAGGAGAGCGACAACAGCACCTGCAGCAACCCCGCTGCCTTTGTCTCTCGCTGCCTTTGGGGCCCAAAGCTGCGAGCCCGACGCTTGCCTGAAGACAGCCCAATGCCAAGGATGCGTAGTGGATTACAAGGGGCAGCAGTTGAAACGGGTGCATTGGCCGCAGCAACCAGCAGACAAGCTTGGATCGACGAGCAGCTGGAACAGAAGCTACATCATCGCACCAGATGTCTGGTGCCTCGTGCGCGTGGGTTCCACTTGTGTTGCCCATCAGCCCACTGGTTGGCTCCTGGCGAGCGCACCGCAGCTGCAATCAGTTATCGGCCTCTGCATGTCTTGCCAGTGTACACAACACTTGTGGGGGATCCCTCTTCACGAACTGCATCCATGCCTGTCGAGCCAGAGATTGCCGGCGAGGCTGCCAATCGATTCTGGAGCTTTGTCCACCAATGGCAGCCTCAGCCGTGGGACATCTCAATCTTTGGCGGACTGCACTACAGCTGTGCACAGGAAACCGTTGTGGTCTTTGAAACGTCGTTGTTAGAAACAACCTCTTGGGGAAGGGCTTGTTGGTGAGCTAGATGTGACTGGCTTTGAAGACTTTCGCTGCCGTCGAGCTTGAAGAGGCTTTGGTCCATGACAGCAGAACGATACATCTTTTTGCAGTGTGTTGCAGCTTCCACTGAATCCGATGCCAAAAACGCGCATGCTCCAAACCCTGAAAATATCCACGTTCGCAGCGCACCCGCTACGCAGGGCATACATGCTCGAACCCAGCGAGCCGCAAACATGTGACCCTACGCGGACCGATTCCTACGACCTCGATGTGTGGTCTGTCTTTGGGGGCCACTGCTGCTCCCACCACATTTCTCCCCTCTATTGCACCCTTCCTATCTCCGACGTGAGGCATTTCTGATTCTTGCAAGGAGGCAGCACCTAAAACAAAGGAATGTGCAAACAAACAAATTGAAATAGCTGCAGCAGGAACAGAAACGACCAATCGCAAATGTCACCCTCACTATCACTATGATCGCCCTGATCACCAGCATCGGCGTATGGGTCGCCGTCATGGTGGTCATCGTCACAGTCATCAGGATCATGGTCAAGAGCATGACTCTTGATCATGGACATGACCATGATCATGATCACCATGGTCGTCGTCATCGTCATGACAACCACCATCATCACCTAAGCAACCACCACCAGCACCCAACACCCACCACTACCACCCACTACCCACCACCACCCACCACCCACCATCACCAACACCACCACCCACCGTTTCACCATCACCACCACCGTCACGACGACAACTACGAAGTACCGGCGCGCTTCAAGAGGACGGTCAAAATACTTGCCCCAAGCAATGGTACGGTTCAGGAGTGCGGCCGAAATGCTTCCGACAACTATTGGCGGACTCAGGACCACTGCCAACATGCTTTTGTCCAAGTGCTGACTGGATTCAGGAGTATTCCTGCAGAACGGCCAAATGCTTCACTCTTCCTTTCAAGTAGTGGCGCAATTCAGAGTTTTCCAGGCCAACAGGCGGCTCGTTTATTGTGGATCTGGCCTCCCGCGGACCCGTGTCCAACACGATCCTGTGCAAATAATGGAACGTAAGCACAAGATGTGCATCGAGCCCCAGCGAGAGCCGCATTTTGGGGAACGTTGTCGGTAGCACGCCCTGGAGGAACACTAACCAATTCCCTTTATAGCGTGTACTACACTGTTTTGGGCTAGAAACAACGAAAGAGATTTTCAAAGCGTACTACTGTCGAATATGCTGATGAAGATTATGCTTGTGATGAATGTGGGCATTGTGGGCCTGTGTTTGCACCTTTTTGACACGGACTTTCCACTGGGAACTTGGTGATTTTGGTGTTGCTTTGATTTGCCAGTTTTGGGAACTGGCAGCTTTGTGGCTGTGTTCCTTGTGTTGGAATATCATCCTGTAGTTTGAACTCGCGGGTTTGTGACTGCCTGATGTACATCACGTCGTGGAGTGCTCCTTCGCTTAAACATGCATCGTTAAGTCGTGCCAACCCCCTTTCCTTCGGATTCCCCGGTCCAGTGCCCCACTCCTTTCCTCCAAGCAGCGCCAGTGCAGCTGGATGGCTGCTGCTGCCGCATCTTCTAACCTTTATCGACAAAAGTTGCACAAAGCTTTGGCTGAGAAAGCCAGTTTGAGTTGGCCAGTTCGCCCGGCAGCCTTCTTGCCCAGAGCAGTGCCTCTCGGCCCAGCGGCAGCGGTGTTGCGGCGAGGCGCCGAAGCAATGCTCGCCACCTGAGCTTGTGAAACTGGCTCCGGGCCTCGATAACATTCCCAACCTTCCAGGCTCAGGCTGATTGGTTATCTGTTGCGACATCAGTCATAGGTTGTAGCTTCAAGATTCATTGGTGACCTTTGGGATATCTAACTTCAACTCACGGACAAAGAACAAACATGAGTATGTATTTGCACGGCAACCAGATGGATTACTGGGCTTCTTGACAACAGAAATACCGATCATCTTGAAGACTTAGCGCACGGGCTTGCGGGGATCTGCAGTGCGGCATAGTCACTCCCGTGCTGCCTTCTGTCGCGGCAGGAATGCAGCGGCCTGGCACGGTCACCGAGCCACGACGAAAACTCAATCAAATTCGCCCCGGCGGCTACCCATCAGCTGAATGCATGCCTGGGGATTCAGTCCAGAGCCATAGCATGCTGACCAAGCCCCCATTTGGACCTTGATGCAAACATGCTACGCAACTTCTCGTTTCGAAGCCAGCGGACGCCCTGAGCACAGCGGACGCACAGAGCACTCTACCCAGTCCGAGGCTAACAGCACGAAAGCCACCCGAATCTTGCGCTGGAGCACCTGACCCTGCAGACCATAGTCGAAATCATATCTCCCCATGGCTGGGATCATATCATGGTACCCCTTGTATGGGTCGCAGCACTTTGCGCCCTTACGCTCGGATTGATGCTCAAGAACTGTAGATGTGTCGTCCATGAAGCTTTGTGACATGAGCCAATGTCGACAGTTGTGCGGCATCAACTGCGCGTGATATGCGATAAACTGACAGCATGCCCTTGCTCGCCGCACTTGGCAGCTGCTTTTTTTGGCCTCTGGAGCAGCTCAGTAAAGCCTGAGTGGAAACAGTGATGCGCAGGTGCAACTAGCAGTAACTAGCAGTAACTAGCCTGTCACCTGTCGACATTGTACCTTGGCTTACGGAGAAACCCCGAACCTCACCGTGCTACAGCTACAAAAGCTGTTGTTTTTCTCGCCCCTGCTGTACGTCACTGCGACTTGGCTGTGCTTCGCGTTCAAACTTAATTCTTCCTTAAATACGCAATATGTCACAACCATTGCAACGAACCTTCATGACAGACTAGCAGACTGACCACACATACCACATCCCTCGCAGGAACGCCCGCAAAGCTCACTCCAAATCCACAAAACAGTTGACACAGTGTAACCAAGTCGGCACAGGATGGCACAGGGTCACCGACGCATGGGTTCCACCCCCAAGTCCCATTAGCAGCAAAGCCGAAAGACTCGTCTGACTGATGCAAAAGCGCTCGACAGATCGATCAAACCCTCCGCCCCGGTCACCGACCCGAAAGTAAAGTTCGACGCTTACCAATCCCGAGTAGGTCTGAATCCGAGCAGTTGCCAGGCTCGGCGGACAAACCTGGTTTTAGCTGTGAGCGGCAGGCCACGAACACGGGATCGTCTCCATCACTTCCCAACCGGCATTTGCAGTAGCATCGAGGCGATCTCTCGATGGTCAAAAGGTCGGCCGATGAGCAAGTTGACCCGATACCCGAGGGAAGGTTCCCAAGAGATTTCGAAGAGTTCACAGGAGATCTCGACGAAGTTCACAAGGATCTTTCTCGAGGACTAGCCTTTGATCAAAGAAGCTTCCAAGGATTCCGAGTCGAGCAACAAAACACCCATATTCATCAGACGATCGCGAAACGTCTCGAGTCCGAAGTCTCGATCAAGAGGTGCGGCACAGCCCGTATCTGTCCCACCCAAGGTGAAGCCATCGGTGAAAATCACAATTCACAACGACCCAGCTTCTCTGCGAGCCCAGAGAATGCGCCACGACCACCGAGAGGCGAACTTTTCCTCAACGAACGTCCCTTATCAGGCACTCGTCCAGGAACTGATGCTGCACGGATGATCGGTGTCAGCACGCAAGCACGATCTGGCTCCTATTGCACATTTTCACATCAGTGTAAGATGGAGATGTGTCACGGAGAACCGCCTCGGGGTTCACGGCCGGAGCAGTAGGCACGTCCTAACCACCACAAGGAAACGCAGCCAAAGAGTTGATCTATACCGCCATGGCGCCTTAATCCCATCCAATGTGTACTTCGGAATCCAGAAGTGGCGGCGTGCATTGATCACGCTAAGTGAGAACATTGATCGTGCTAGAGCTGGTCATGATCAAGCCCGATCCTGTCATCACGATTGTCGGAGGGTGTCGGCAGCCGGACATCGAAACGGTTGTGAACAGCGGCGGGAGGGAAGGGAAATGAGCTCATCTCCGTTGGGCGCGCAGCTAGGGACGCACCTGATTGGCTACAGAAAGGTCTTGCCCGGCGATTGCCTCTGCCAAAATGGTCGTGGATATCAAAAGTTGAATAGGTCTGAATCAGGCCTGCACTCTGATCACATCCGGGCGTGTGCGGTTATCCCAAACCACCTAATCGGTTATAGGAGAACAGACAGCCAGCCAGCCAGACAGAGACACGAACGGACAGACAGACAAAGAGGGAGACCGACAGAGAGACCGACAAACAGAGAGGTAGACAGAGGCATAGATACACATGAAGATACATGCTGTATACGACCCGTCGTCGCGCGCTTCACAACTTGCTTTCCATCAAGCTGCGAATAAAGCGTAGCTTCCGCATTGGTGTGCACTTCTCTCGAGCCTTTGGAAGTCCTTGGCATGCCGAGCAAGAATCACCCTGTGAGCTATGCACGCAGAGTGTGCAAAATGCAAAACAGAGGGTGCCGATGCCTTCACAATCACGTCTCGAAAGTTCAGTACCGAACTTGGCTCGCGAGCCCTCGACAGGTGGCTGTCAGTTGCCGCAAAGGCGCTCCGATTCCTCCTCCTCGGACTCGTCGTATGCGGCACCGTGTTTGGGGCCTTGGAAACCCGCCGAAATTCTATGTGCGTTGCTATTGCTGGGATTCAGCTTGCCAGCTCACCCTTACGCCAAAGCACCCATTTGCATCATGGTGGACAGAAGGACGGAGCCAAAGACTATCGTCAGCATGACTGCTACTTCGGTGGTGTCCGAAACCTGCACCTCCTCGCGGCAGGTTGAAAATAGGCGTCGAAAGTCATGGGGGGCAACACGTTTTGTCTTTCTCTTTGCGTTCTTACTACGCAAGATTATGCAAGTACCGAGCTTGAGGAACGGCGTGTGCCGGCAGTCCCAGGTGAGAGTAAAAGAAGAACAAGAAAACTCTGAGGTTTTTTCATTGTAAAGTTTTATGGTGAAACTCACGTGAATCAGATGAAAATGTGTTCGGCGTTATGTTATAACTGCTTTTCCTCAGGGCAGCATCGAAGCGGGGTGTTAGAAGAACAAGTGACTCTTCAGCTTTCCCCCGGTCTCGCTCGGATGGGAGGGTGCACATCGAGTTGAACCCCATCAGCAGGAACACTTGAACGCATAAATGCTCCCTCAAGTATGCTTTCCGTGACCGAAAGCTTGGGACTCATACAACCTGCATCACAAGTCAGCAGAAGGCCAACAACTACGTTGGGCATCTCATGCCGTTGTCTGCTGTCCGGACAAGCTTCCAGGGCACCGCAAGAACTTTCTTCCCCTCTTCCTTTTCTTTCACTGGTCCAACGGGGACAAGCCTCCGTGTGCGGAGGCAGGCCCTTTTGTCCGTTAGGGCGCAACAGACATGCCGCTTTGCACACGAAATCTGTGGCTTGCTCCATCTCTGCTTTTGTTTTTCTCTCTCGCTTGCTTGCTTGCTGTTCCATGTCCCGTGGGCGTGAGACGTATATTGACTCGTCGGAGCACGCACGTTTCTCTTTTCTTTTCTTTCTGAAGGGACGTTTCTCTCTCTCTCTCTCTCTCGCTCTCTATTTCTGCCTCCCTATCATTTTTCTCCTTCGCCACAATCAAGTCGGGAAACTCCCACACTCGGGCGATCACGTCCTCTCAGGCTCTACGGGCCGGCCCTCCCTGCACAGGCGAAAAAAAGACTCTGCCTCCCTCGAGACAGTCTCTCTCAAGCCGCCTCCAAAGCAAAGACTGCAGAAAGTAATGGTTAAGGAAGGTCATTCTGACTTCGGATCAGGATCTATGTCATCTTGGAGGTTGAACAACCACTCAATTGATCACGTAGCTTGCGACCCGACACATACAAAGTGTTCTCTGTCTCTCCTTTCCTCCATTCTTTCCCTCTCTGTCTCATCCCTTGCTTGTCCGACTCCTCCCGCACCAGGAGCAACCCCCCGAAGAAGAGGAGCAACACACTAATGCCTGGCACGTGGACACAACCAACGAACCACAGCTGTGGCGACATCAAAGTTGAGAAACAGGCAACCCATGAAATCGCGGATACGCAGCTTCGGCAATTGCTTTGCTAGTCTGCTTCCCACATGCCTGACCTGTTCTCATCAGGTAGAACTGCTTGAAGAGCTCACTAACGATAACATACAGGTCCGACAATGCCTCAGGGACGGTCGGCTTGAGAGTCAATGTCGCTTCAGCTGCCCCAAGGATACGGCACCGTTGCTGACCGAGCTTCAAATGCCACCAGGACGGAAGATGTCCAAGCAATGAAATGCGAGTCAATTGTTTCCTTGGTCCCGAGCCACCCCTTCTGAGTGGCGGTTGACTCCGGAACGTTGGGTGCACTTTTTTTACAAGCGTCCGACGGTCACCGAACAATGTGAAAATCTTGGTCAACAAACGAGTGCTCATGCAATGCTTTGAACTTGGCACCTTGCCACCGAATGATGCGCGTCCACGCACGGAAGACAGCTGCACTGCACTCTTCGCAAAGAGCGGTCAAACCAACATGAACAAAACTGCGTCCAATGTAATGCTTTGCTCGCGTTTCCAGTCGTTCGCCCCAATTCTACATAACGTGCTGGGATTTGTCTGACAGGTACCTGCCTGTGCGCACGATTGCTCTAATTGACTCTGATGTAGTTTGCTCATCCATCAGAAGTTACTGCAACGACTGTGGCCCTGTTGTTCACGGCTTCTGGCTATGACAAGCCGAACTACGTTACTTACGGCGAAAGTATTCGCTTCTCACTCGGGCTGCGACTTTTCTCTCCAACCCGAGAGCCAGGGTGCGTGTTTTCGGTCTGCGAACTGGAACACTCAGTGTCCAACGCGCTGCCGTCCGTTCTGTACGAACAGAGCGGCTCACTCCACTCATGCGCGCTGTTCTGCGGCTCCTTGTGCATCCAGGTCGTAGGCGAACTTCTGGAAGCCCGCGAAAACAGTCGGAGTTGGAGCTTCGCCACTTGTAGCGCCTGCTGAAGTTAAGTTCTGCGAACTTGCAATCGAGGCTCGTTGGCATCGACCAGTCGTCTCTCGAAGAAACTCCATCGGACACATTGGCAGCTGCCGATACTTTGTGGAAACTCAGGGCTATTCCTCTGCTTGACAAAAAGCGCGAAAAGCAACCAAGTGAAGGCCGTGTCCTTGGAGTAGCCCTTGTTCATCGTGTTCTGCGGACGT